AGCCAAATCATTTTCTCTCTCTCTTTTTTTTTTTTTGTGGTGAGACAGAGTCTCAAGCTGTTGCCCTGGGTAGAGTGCTGTGGTGTCACAGCTCACAGCAACCTCAAACTCTTGGACTTAAGTGATTCTCTTGCCTCAGCCTCCCAAGTAGTTGGGACTATAGGCGCCTGCCATAACACCCAGCTATATTGAGCTGCTTTTTTGTTTGTTTCTTTTGGCCATCAAATCTGCCATAGTATTTCCTTTCACAGTGTAAATGGCTGCTTTTTGATGTCCTCAGCAGTGTATAATGGCTACTTCCTTAGGTAATAAAACTACATTTAATAATTGAAGAATCTGAGGTATTTAATTTCTTTATTTTTAGAAGATATCCTCATTCTTTCTAAATAGCTCTATGAGCGTGTACCACAATAAAGACAGACTTAGGATCAGTCTAAGTGTTGATATACTTAATTTTCTCATGATACAGGGGCATAGTCAATATGATGGATTTAGCTTTTCAAATCCCAGAAGGTAGGGCTTGTGCCTTAATACCTGTTAGCTGGTAATCATAGCACACCCAACTTTGTTCTGTGTTCCATGAAACTGCTCCCATCTACAGGGAACTCTTCATCCAAATCTTTTAAGGGCTTATCATTCAAATCCAGGTGGCTAGAATATACTTGGCCAATCATTGAATGTAATCATGGACAAGGGAGTGAGAGTTCACAGGCAGCAAGGTGGTGGGATTTAAGGTGGACACTGTCTTTAGAGTTGTGTTAGGATTATTGAACAGAGTAGCCTGATGGTAACCAATAGTCCCCCTTCTGTACTAGGAGGGGGACATGTAACATGCAGCATGAACAGTTGCTGGCTGTCCAAGGGTAAACTTTTCAGCTTCTTGTAAAATATCACAAGTAGCAGCAACTGCTCTCAAACAAGTGGGCCACCCTTTCACCACTACATCTAATTGTTTAGGGAAACAGACCACAGGTTACTTCTTAGCCTCCAAAGTTTGAGTTAATACCCTGAGTCCAATCCCTTGTCTTTCTTGAATGAACAAAGTAAAAGGCTTGTGCACATCCGGGAGGCCCAGCATGGGGGCATCATCAGTTTTCTCTTCATTAATTAAAAAGTCTTTTGACATTTCCCTGTCTGAAGAAGGGGCTTTTCTCTTTCTTTTTTTTTTTTTTTTTTTTTTAAGTTTTCATAGAGGGGTTTGCTTATTAGGCTAAAAGTTTGACAAAACCTTATCATACATGGGAATCTTCGCAGCTGCTTGCAAGTGGTGGGGATTGCTACCCTGTTCAGTCTGGGAGGAGATTTCTCGGCCTCTGAGACTATTCAAATCCCAGGCATTTGACAGTGGGTGCTGAGATCTAGGTCTTTTTCTGGGATTCTTTTGGGGGTGTTCAACATGCAGCCCACAGCCACATGCTGATTTTGTGAGGACACTTTTTGTTCATCTATGGTGTCATATGTCACAAAAGTATGCACAGACTTTTTTTTTTTTTTTTTGCTAATCAGCTTTTGTTAGTGTTGTGTATTTAATGTGTGGCACAAAACAACTCTTCTTCCAAAGTATGGCAGAGATAAAAAGGTTAGATGCCCCTGGTAGCCAAGAAATTTAATATAATTATATAGTATGTTGCCTTGATTCAGCTTCAGTATGACTTGTAATCAAATATCATCTATATATTGTAATATGATTCTGGTTTTTTTTTTTTTTGAGACAGAGTCTCAAGCTGTCACTTGGGTAGAGTGCCGTGGTGTTATAGCTCACAGCAACCTTCAACTCTTGGGCTCAAGTGATTCCTCTTGCCTCAGTTTTTCTCTTTTTAATAGAGACGGGGTCTTGCTTTTTACTCAGGCTGGTCTCAAACTCGTGAGCTCAAACTATCCACCCACCTTGGCCTCTTAGAGTGCTAGGATTACAGGTGTGAGCCACTGTCCCCAGCCTAAATGATTCTTTAAAAAGAATTTTTTTTTTAGGGCAAGGCACAGTTGCTCACATCTGTAATTCTAGCACTCTGAGAGGCTGAGGTGGGAAGATATCTTGATTTAAAAATTCTTTAATCATCTTTAGGACATTTTCAACTAGAGATTTTATTTTATTTATTTATTTTTGAGACAGAATCTCACTATGTCACCCTTGGTAGAGTTGCTGTAGCGTTGCAGCTCATAGCAACCTCCAACTCCTGGGCTTAAGCAATTCTCTTGCCTCAGCCTCCCAAGCAGCTGGGACTACAGGTGCCTGCCACAACGCCCAGCTATTTTTGGTCACAGTTGTCATTGTTGTTCAGCAGGTTCAGGCCTGGCTAGAATCCAGCAGCCCCGATGTATGTGGCTGGCCCCATACTCACTGAGTTATGGGCACCAAGCCCAACTAGATATTAAGAAAAAAAAAAATTCCCTTTTTTGAGATAGTCTCACTCTCTTGCCCCAGGCTAGAGTGCCATGGCATCAGCCTAGATCACGGCAACTTCAAACTCCTGGGCTCAAGGCAATTCTCCTGCCTCAGCCTCCCAAGTATCTGGGAATAAAGGTGCCTACCACAAGCCCAGCTAATTTTTCTTTTCTTTTCTTTTCTTTTTTTTTTTTGGAATAGAGTCTCAAGTTCTCGCCCTGGGTAGAGTGCTGTGGCATCATAGCTCACAGCAACCTCAAACTCTTGGGCTTAAGCAATTCTCTTGTCTCAGCCTCCCAAGTATCTGGTACTACAGGGACCCGACCACAACACCCAACCATTTTTTGGATGTAGTTGTCATTGTTGTTTGGCAGGCCCAGGCTGGATTTGAACCCTCCAGCTCTGGTGTGTGTGGCTGTCGCCCTAGCCACTGAGCTACAGGTGCTGAGCCTAATTTTTCTATTTTTTAGTAGAAATGGGGGTCTCACTTTTGCTCACACTGGTCTTAAACTCCTGAGCTCAAGAGATCCTCCTACTTCCGCCTCTCAGAGTGCTAGGATTACAGGCATGAGCAATTATGGCTGGCCCTAAAAAAATTTTTATCTTTTTCTTTTTTCTTTTGAGACAGAGTCTTACTATGTTGCCCTTAGTAGACTGCTGTGGTGTCATAGCTCACAGCAACCTCAAACTCTTGGGCTCGAGTGATTCTCTTGCCTCAGCCTCTCAAGCTGGGACTATAGGCACCCACAACAACACTTGTCTATTTTTTCTTGTAATTGTCATTGTTGTTTGGCGGGCCTGGGCTGGGTTCAAACCCACCAGCGCTGGTGTATGTGGCTAGTGCCCTAGCTGCTGAGCTACAGGCGCTGAGCAAAAAAAAAATTTTTTTTAAAGAATCATTCTACAGTATATAGATGATATTTTGGTTATAATTTATATTGAAGCTAAATTAAGGCAACATAGTATATCATTTTTTCCCTTTTTTGGAGGCTCATAGCTATATTCAACTAGTTTTGGAGAATGTAATCCAAAAGGCTATATTTGGGGACTGAATTTTTATTTCTTATAGACTACACACACACTCCAAATGGACTGCAGTCCCAATAAGCCAAATAGAAAGTCAGAGGTCGTACTCTCTAACGGTTGAGGATTCCAACCCAAATTCAAATCGGAATTCCCCAGATTGAAAGAAGAGCTCTCTGTTGCATGGTATTTATCTAGACCAGTGGTTCTCAACCTTCCTAATGCTGCGACCCTCTAGACACAGATGTCAACGTCCTAAAGTTAAAGGTCCATTTTAACAATTAAGGATGTGTTTGGGACTGGTGACAGCCATGGAGAGAAACCAGAACCAACCTCCAGCAGAGCTGGGCATCTGCGAGGGAGGCTTCAAAGTCTTTTTCCACTCAGTGACCACTAAGCCATGAGCAATGGATACCAGATGAACCTCCAAATTGTAAAAGAACCTACATTGGGGGTTCCCTCTGTTGCTTGGCACACAGAAAACCAATAACTGAGACAACAGGATTGCCAAGGAAGAATGGAGATTGATTGTGGAGGACGTGTTAACTGGGAAGTAGGATGGACTGGCTCAAATCTGTCTCCCAGACCAAAGGAGTCAGAGTTTTTTCTGGAGGTGAAATGAATAATGCATGAAGTGAGTGAGCATCCTTACTTGTTCAGGTGGAGTTCAGGGCACGCAAGCGCAGCAAGAAATGCTAGAACATACATCACATGGTAAAAAAAATGGTGGCTAAGTCCCTCCCAGGGCAGAGATTTTAGTAGTCTAACAATCTAGGGGTTATAATTGGCCATTTGTTCACTCTGTGAGCAGGTGGGATGAGATCCCTGGGCACAATCTGTGGTGGAGTGTCACTTGTCTTCTGTGGACAAACAGGTAGTGTAAGGCTTTGTGATATCTTGTGGCTGCAAGGAGGCTTTGCTGTTTCTGAGGGAAAATAAAACTCAGAAGGGAACGGATTCATGCAACAGAAAGTAATGAAGTTCTGATCAGCAAATCTTACTGGCCTGGGAATTTGATTCATAAAGAATATAAACAGATGTTTTTGCTTATGGAGCTGGTTACAGACACTTCTGGCTGCAAAGGGAGAAGCAAGGAGAAGAGCTGGCCTAAGGCTACCGCTTGGGGCCTCCATGAACTCAGCCCTGGGCCAGCTGCTGGGGGCAGAGTTTGGTTTGAGAGGGGAACACAGGCACCCTCCAAGGGCCTCCCAGTCTAAAGGGTTTAAAGGAAACTTAATTCTAGTTGGTGGGTATGGCCCAGGCTTGGGCGTACAGAAGAGAAGGAAGTCGGTCAGTGCCTGTGGCTCAGTGAGTAGGGCACTGGCCCCATATACCAAGGGTGGAGGGTTCAAACCTGGCCCCGGCTGAACTGCAACAAAAAAATAGCTGGGCGTTGTGGTGAGCTCCTTGTGGTTCCAGCTGCCCTGGAGGCTGAGGCAAGAGAATCTCCTAGGCCCAGGAGTTGGACGTTGCTGTGAGCTGTGACGTCACAGCACTCTACCAAGGGTGATAAAGTGAGACTCTGTCTCTACTAAAAAAAAAATAAAGAGAAGGAAGTCTAAGCTGGCCTCTCTCATTGTCTCCCTCCCAGCCTCGCCCTGGCTCAATGTGTCTACAGATGGTGATGATGTACGCCTGGTGCTGGAAGTCTCTCAGGAGCAGAGCTTTGGCCTCTCCTTGTACTGGAAGCAGGCCCAAGGCTCCTCAAAGCCCTGGTGGAATAGAAACCTGGTGAGGCCTCCCCCGCCCCAAGTCCATTCCCACTCTGGGGCAGATGCCCTGTTAAGGATGTGTGTGAATTATCAAGGAGGGCCCTTGAAGAGGACACACCTGAAACAAGGACACAGAAGTACCACACAGGAACTTCTACCTGCCTGGTATCCTTGACTTTGGCCTCCCCCCTTTCCTCCTCCAAATTTCTCCAACTCCCTTCCTTTTGCTTGTTCCACAGACTGGGCCACAGACCATTACCTTGAACCACACCGACCTGGTTCCCTGCCTCTGTATTCAGGTAGGAACAGAGTCTAGCTGGGTACCAGTGGAAGGAGATTGGGAAGATGGTGAGAAGAGTGATCTTCACCTCCTGCTCTCACCATTCTCTGTGCCCCTGTTTGACGTAGAAATTTTGGCTCCCTGGGAGGGCTAGATCTCCCTTGGCTTTTACTATCTCATACCTTTTGCCTGTTATATGCCCAGAATATTCTTCCTGATCCCTCATCCAGGCCTCCTACTTTTTTTTTTTCGAGACAGAGTCTTACTATGTTGTCCTCGGTAGAGTGCTGTGGCGTCACAGCTCACAGCAACCTCCAACTCTTGGGCTTAAATGATTCTCTTGCTTCAGCCTCCCAAGTAGCTGGGACTACAGGTGCCTGTCACAACACCCGGCTATTTTTTTGTTGCAGTTGTCATTGTTGTTTAGCAGGCCCAGGCCTGGCTCAAACCCATCTGCCTTGGTGTATGTAGACATCACCCTAACCACTGAGCTACGAGCACCAAACTAGGACTCCTACTTATGCTTCATGACCTCCTCCCAATGTCACCTCCTCCTCAAAGCCTTCCCTTAGTGCTCTGAATCCCTCTTTGTGCTCTGCTGCAGGGCATAACATGTACTGTGGACTCAGTTTGACTCCTGGCTCTTGCCATCTGCTAAGTGTTTGACCTTGGGCAAGTCACTTCACTTCTGTAAGCCTGTGTCCCATAGTAAAATGGGACTAATAATAGCACCAGCCTCATGGCGTTGTCGTAAAGAAGTGTGGCACATCCAGGCTGAAATACGTTGGCTCTTTCTTTTCCCTTTGATGACACGTTGGTCCCCAGGACCCATTCATTTCACCTTGGACATTAATGTCGCTCATTCTCTTTCCCCCTCCTGTCCATCTCAGTCCAGTTTTGGCTTCTACCACCTCTTCTCTACCCAGTTTCAATAACCTCCAGCTTTATCTCCCTTCCCATCACTTCCCTGGCATTCTGGACCCCATAATCTGCCCCCAGTGGAAACTTTTCCACTGTCTTTTTCCCTTCATGGGACCTTTGTGACATCTACTGGAACTATTTAACAAGAGACACCTGTCTTTGTGTCTTTGCTCAGGCAGCTCCCACTACCTCAAATGCCCCCACAACTTTTCCATACAACAAAATCTTTCCAGCTCATTTGTCACCTCTTTCCCAAGGCTTTTCCTGAACCATCTGGCCTCTCCTTCCTTTAAATTCCCTTGTACCTCTCCTGTCCTTTCTTATCCATTTATTGCTTCCTTTCTTATTTGAGCATTTGTCTAATTTCTTTTTCTTTTTTGCAGTTTTTGGCTAGGGCTGGGTTTGAACCTGCCGCCTCCTGCATATGGGGCCGGCACCCTATTCCTTTGAGCCACAGACACCGCCCTGTCTAATTTCTTTTTGTACACAACAAATGCTCAATAAATATTGTGAAGTGAGTGATCGATTTGCTAATTTATTTACATATTTTATCCTTACTACAGACAACTGTGTTTATGATTTCATTGAAATCAACCAAATCATATCTAATATGAATGTAATCACTTTGCCAGAGTCTTCCAAGGTGCTTGGATATAGTGGGTGCTAATTGTTGAATGAATGAACGAACACATCTCTACTACTTAGCACAGCACTAGAGCACAGCACTAGGACACAGCAGATGCTCATGAAATGTTTGCTGTGATTTAAATGTCCTCATTGCCAAGCACAATGCCTGCCATATAGTAAGTGCTCTTAACAAAAGCAGGATTTTCAGTGATTTTTAGTGAGAGGATCTTAGGTGTGCTGCAAATTTTTAATTTTATTTTATTTTTGCAAAAATTTTTAAGGATAATAAATTAAATTATTTTTGAAAGAAGTTCAAAGCACAGTAAGTATATTCTTTTTTCAACTGTTTGTTTGTTTTGAGACAGAGGCTCACTCTGTCACCCTGGGAAGAGTACCATTGCATCATCATAGCTCACTGCAATGTCAAACTCTTGGGCTTGAGCAATCCTCTGCCTCAGCCTCCCTAGTAGCTGGAACTATAGTTTTTCTATTTTTAGTAGAGACAGTTTTGCTCTTACTCAGAATGGTCTTGAATTCTTGAACTCAAGCAATCCCCCTGCCTCCACCTCCCAGAGTGCTAGGATTACAGGCATGAGACACTGCACCCAGCCAGTAGATGCTCTTAAAAAAAAAAAAAATCTAGGGGCTCTGCGCCTGTGGCTCAAGTGGCTAAGGCACCAGCTACATACACCTAAGGTGGCAGGTTTGAGTCCAGCCCGGGCCTGCCAAACAACAATGACAGCTGCAACCAAAAAATAGCCAGGCGTTGTGGCAGGTGCCTGTGGTCCCAGCTACTTGGGAGGCTGAGGCAGGAGACTCGCTTGAGCCCAGCAGTTGGAGATTGCTGTGAGCTGTGATGCCACAGCACTCTACCCAGGGGGATAGCTTGAGGCTCTGTCTCAAAAAAAAAAAAAATCTATAAAGAGATCAGGTGCAGTGGCTCCCTCTACCACTTTGGGAGGCTGAGGCCAAGGTGGGAGAATCACTTGAGGCCAGCCTGAGCAACATAGTGAGACCCCCCCCAATTTCTATTAAAAAAAAAAAGAAAGAAAGAAAAGTTAGCTCGGTGTGGTGTGGGAAACTATAGTCCCAGCTAATTCAGAAGCTGAGGCAGGAGTTTGAAGTTGCAGTGAACTATGATGACACCATTGTAATCTAGACTGGGCAACAGAGGGAGACCTGTCTCAAAAAAAAAAAAAAACAACAACAGTCTATTGAGGGATATATGAATGTTTCCTTAGTACTTAGCACATTACCAGGCACATCAAAAAAGCTCACAAAGTGATTGCGGAATGAATTAAAATTGAATAGGGAACGTTCCTTGTGCCTACCATAGTGCTAAGAAATATAATAGGTGCTCATTTAAAGCTTATTGAAAGATGCTGCAGGAAGTGCTCCCGGCTCAGTGGGTCGGGCGCTGGCCACATACCCACTGAGGCTGGTGGGTTTGACCCTAGCCTGGGCCAGCTAAAGCAACAATGACAACTGCAACAACAACAACAAAATAGCCAGGCGTTGTGGCAGGAGCCTATAGTGAGGCAAGAGAATCACTTAAGCCCAGGATTTTGAGGTTGCTGTGTGCTGATGCGACAGCACTCTACCCAGGGCGACAGCTTGAGACTCTGTCTCAAAAAAAAGAAAGAAAGATGCTGCCAGAGCTCAGTGTTGTGTGTGTGCTGGATGAATAAATGTGCGTATCCCCAGGCTTTGTAAAAGACCAGAACCCTGCAAGTGCTGAGTAAATGCGTCCCCGGGGCCCAGCAGAGGGCCCAGCACATACTCATGATATCATGGAAGGTTGTCTGGGTTGATATTCTTTTTTCAACTGTTTGTTTTGAGACAGAGGCTCTGCCACCCTGGGTAGAGTTCGTAGCATCATCATAGCTCACAGCAATCTCAAACTCTGGCTTCCTTTCCTTTCCAGGTGTGGCCCCTGGAGCCTGACTCCATCAGGACTAACATCTGCCCCTTCGTGGAGGGTGAGCTGTGTGGCGAGGCCAGGGGCGGTGCAGGTGGACACATGCTGGCCGCGCGATGACCCACGCCCTTTCCCTGCAGACCCTCGAGCGCACCAGAACCTCTGGCGTGCTGCTCGGCTGCGGCTGCTGTCCCCACAGAGCTGGCTGCTGGACGCGCCGTGCTCGCTGCACGCAGAGGCGGCGCTGTGCTGGCAGGCACTGGGTGGGGGCCCCTGCAGGCCACTTGTTCCGCTGCTGCCCTGGGAGAATGTCACCGTAAACGTAAGCCAGGCGGAGGGTGGTGCCCTGAGTAGGGGGAAAGTGGGGAATTCAGGGGTCCCCTTTTGTGATTTCACTCATTCTCCTCTTTCCACAGAAGGCCCGTGAATTCCCATTGCTAGAAGGCCACCCTAACCTTTGTGTCCAGGTCAGAAAGGGTACCAAGCTGGGCTGGGGGTAAGACCCCCTAGACAATTTGCTATACTCTCCACCCATTTTGTTCTTGGGCCCCTGAGGTGTATGGTTATAGCTTTCTCTTTGGAAGTGCATGGGACCCTGTCTCACCTCTCTGAACATCAGTCTCTTTATCGATTTACTGCAGATGATAACAGTAACTACTTCACAGAGTAGTTGCGAAGATGAAGTAAGAAAATTGCTTCACTTCAGGGATTAGTTTAGACTAAATGCTCACTAAATGTTGGCTGCTTTTATAATTGTTATCATTATTGTATTTACCCACCTATACAATGTCTTGCTCTACAACTTCAAGGGGTGATTATAGAAAATATTCACTCGGCTCGGTGCCTGTGGCTCAAGCGGCTAAGGCGCCAGCCACGTACACCTGAGCTGGCGGGTTCAAATCCAGCCCAGGCCCGCCAAATAACAATGACGGCTGCAACCAAAAAATAGCTGGGCATTGTGGTGGGCGCCTGAGGTCCCAGTTACTTGGGAGGCAGAGGCAGGAGACTCGCTTGAGCCCAGGAGTTGGAGGTTGCTGTGAGCTGTGATGCCACGGCACTCTACCCAGGGGGACAGCTTGAGGCTCTGTCTCAAAAAAAAAAAAAATTCACTCATTCAAGATTTATTGAGCATCTACTATGTACCAGGCACTGTTTTAGGCATTTGTGATAGATCTGTCAGTGAACAAAACCAGTAAATGTACCCACCCTTCTAGAACTTTTGTCCTAATAAGAAAAGCAGACAATGAACATTGTAAGTAAACTATACAGTAAGTTAACATAGCACATAAACACTATGGGGAGAGATGGAAGGATAGAGAGGATTGGGCTTGCAACTGTAAGTGGGGTGAAAAGAGAATCTTCTCTTTGAGAAGATAGAGGAGAGAATGTATAAAGCAGGCGTCCTTAAACTACGGCCCACGGGCCACATGTAGGCCACCTAGGACATTTATCTGGCCTGCCAGTGGGTTTTTTTTTTTTTTTTTTTTTTTTTAGAGACAGAGTCTTACTTTATTGCCCTTGGTAGAGTGCTGTAGAGTCACAGTTCACAGCAACCTCCAACTCCTGGGCTTAGGCGATTCTCCTGCATTAGCCTTCCAAGTAGGTGGGACTACAGGCACCCGCCACAATGCCCAGCTATTTTTGGTTGCAGTTTGAACCCGCCACCCTCAGTATATGGGACAGGCGCCCTACTCACTGAGCCACAGGCGCCACCCCTGCCAGGTGTTTTTACTGCCACTGCCTGTCCTGCTTAGCAACCAACTCATCCTGGGGCCCACAGTCCGGCCCTCCAACAGTCTGAGGGACAGTGAACTGGCCCCCTGTTTAAAAAGTTTGAGGACCCCTGGTATAAAGTGCTTTGTACAACATGAAAAGAGCTTTAGAGTTAGAAGCCCTTTAGCACAGATGACTTCTCAAGGCTTGGGCTAAGAAAGATGAGTGACTCCCAATCACCCATCCTTGAGCCAGATCCGCCCACCCTGACAGGCCTCCTCCTGCCTGCTCCTTCTCTTGTGGTCTTTCTGGCCTTGGAGCTTGCTCACCCTTATGCCCCTCACCCTGGCCTCTTCCAAGCAGGTGAGCAGCTGGGAGGAGATGCAGCTGCAAGAGTGCTTGTGGGCTGGTGAGTGGAGGCTGGAGGAGGCTGGGGCAGGGGCTCCTGGGGGTGAGGGTCAGGGCATGACGGGAGGGCAAGTGGCAACTCCCACTAAGGGGTTTTGGTCAGAGTGGCATCTCACCCCTTCCAGACTCCCTAGGGCCCCTCAAGGATGATGTGTTGCTGGTGGAGACACGAGGCCCCCAGGACAGCAGATCACTCTGTGCCTTGGAACCCAGTGGCTGTACTTCACTGACCAGCAGGGCCTCTACGGTGAGGGCTGGGGAACCCTCCCACACAGATCTCTCTAGCACCTTCTCACACCTGGCTCAAATATTCACTTCAGCCACCTGTGTTGGTCTGTGGGGATGTAGGGGTGACTCAGAACTGGGCCCTGTTCAGTTGCCTCTCAAAAGTCTCCCAGTCCCCCTACCCATTTTTTCCCAGCTGCAGCCTAGTAGGAGCTGCCCCCCAGTAACAGCCCCCTCATCCCTTGGCTTGACAGAGAGCAGCTTACCTTGGAGAGCAGTTACTACAAGACCTGCAGTCTGGCCAGTGTTTGCAGGTGAGTAGGAGGCAGAAGGGCCCTGCCAGAATGCCTAAAGGCAATAGTCCTAGAGCTAGCACTAACCTATTGTCTATTTGTGCTTATTTTGTGTTCAGCCCTGGAAAGTTAAGAGTAGAAGAAACAGGAGTTTTATCCCCAAGGAGTTCACTGTTGGCTAGAGATCAGTAAACAGATAACCAAACCCACAGGTCCTAAGGGTTGGGTTCTAGAGAGAGCTTGAAGAAAAGATTTCTTGGCTCGGTGCCTGTGGCTCAAATGGCTAAGGCGCCAGCCACATACACCTAAGGTGGTGGGTTTGAATCCAGCCCGGGCCTGCCAAA